AGTCAGGTATATAAAAATTGATTATAGAGAATTCAATATTCAAGTAAAATGGGTGGTGTTTAGAGTACATTTACATGGCAGGACATCTCCAGGCTCAAGTAGTACCTCTTCCCTTGGATGGGACACAGACCTCATCAGAGTAAATTTGCATACAAGATAAGGACGTACAGAGGCATAAGACTGGCCAGAGCCTGCTGCTCTGCTTTCTGCTGTGTATACCTGATCAGGAAAGCTTCTTCCCTATCTATAAGGAAGATAAATTATTCCTCATGTCTCACATGGTAGGTGGACAAATTCTCTATCACAGTACTCATATCTTAAACGTCTCAAGCAGTGGAGACAAATAACAATTACATTGTCCTCAGTGTCTCTCAAACTGATACATGACCATATTGTGAACAGGGGAATCTTGTCTAAGCCTGCCACACAACTAGTATGGGACCTGCACGTAGCAGAATGTCCTCCCAATTAATTTAAACATTAATACAACGAGAAGCCTGTGATTGGACAGGGAAAAGGAAGTGGAGTTAAGAGTTTCAGGGACAGAGACAGAGAAGACGGGGAGAAGGAAAGAGGATGGAGGAAGAGGAAGATGATCCAGATTCCACGTGGCTTTAAATAGCCACAGGTAGCTATGACTATCTTATAAGGGAAGGATAATTACATTAAAGGACAGCTTGTCTTATCTAGGTGGACTATTTATATCATTATCAATTGGCTCTGAGTTCAGTGTGTGGGCGCTTTCTGAGGTGAGAATTTACTGATATAAATCTGACTTATAAATCACAAGCCTCTGAAGTTTTGATTTTACTGGGTTACTGGGATTTGGGACCGCTGACCACAGGGAGTGGATGGCTGGGAATGTGAGTGGAATCCGCAGCAAGAGAACCTTGAGATGGGAGGTCACTGCTTGGGGCTAGCCATGGAGGCAGCAGGGTCGCTGGGGCGGGGCCGAGAGAAGCTGGCAATAGGGCGGGATGGTGTCATTTTAAAAAAATATTTCCCTCAACACTTGCGTACTGGTTCACTCAGCCATACCCTTTCCCCCGGCTTTCCCTTCTCCTCCTCTTAACAAAGCCAGTCCAGGCCTGAGACTGATACCTGATTCTGCATGAAGTTCTCAGGAGAGTTTTAGAGCCTCTGTCCTTAGGGCCAGTCAGCACACCAGGATGAACTATGGGCTCTCATTTAAACACTAAGTTGCAGGTGTCATCCTGTGGACCCACCTTGCCTGGGTAAAGAAAGCAATGCCACCTGTGCAGGAGATCTGGACTATGAAGGTTCACCCAGATCAGTCCTTTCAGAGACAGGAAGACTGGTTCTTCATCTCTGATCAAGTTGTCAATCTGGATGTCAGCAGGTCTATATACTGCAGGAAGTTGAGGAATTCAGCAGCAGCATTTGGAGATGCGGATGATGGTGGCCCTTCCTCCTTTTGGTCTCGTGATAATACTGTCCATTATGCTTTTTATAGGGCTAGCCATGATGGCTCCTCAGGATTGGACTCTGACAAAGAATTTTACTAGTTCTGATATATTTGGAAACATATAGGTTTACAAAAAATATTATCTGATTTCTTTAACTATACCTGTCTATGAATCCAAATTAAAAGTGGTCCATATATGTGTATGTATGTATGTATGTATGTATGTATGTATGTATGTATGTTTCTTGAAATTGAATAGAGCCTTCCAACCCCGTAAAAGGCTAATTCTATCAATTGACAAGAAAGGGGGTTATGTGCCTACTTGAAGGAAAGGTGTTGCTACTATCTAACAAGCCAGGAATGGTTCAAAACATGATGGAACTGCTAAGGGAAAGTGTAGCCCACAGAAGAGAAGCCCGAGAGCTCTGGTCATTTTGGAATGGCTGATGGATTTAAAACTTGTCTAATGTCTATTATAGAGCCCTTCCTTCTGGTTGTACTAGGACTGTGACTCTGGCCATGCCTTCTGAGCTGTTTACTGGTTTGACAACTCCTGGATAGAAACCTCAGAGCTGGTTTGGTGATAAATCAGAAGGACACTAAGTATTCAGTTCCCTATGGTACATGATTTTAAAGTGAGCTTTATAAAAGATATTTAATGCCGTTAACAGGTGGGAATGATGTAGAAGAAACTACAAGTGATTGATACATTTACCAATGATGAACTTTACCAATAAATTTGCATAGGAGACATTAAATCACAATGTAGTGTGCTCAGGAAGGTCAGAAGAGGGAGACAGCTCCCCTGGAAAGGAAAATCCAGTGAAACACCTTGTTAGAAAATTCTATCATGATATCTAATACCTAGTATGTTAATTTAAATGAAAACTGCCAAGGTGTTTTTGAGCCACTCATTTTTATAAGTGAGTCCAACAAAGTCACAGGTCCACCGAGCTAGACTTGAGTGGAATTGTTTCTTTGATCCATCACTGTTGCCTTACCTTGAGTGAATAAAAGTCCCAGAACAGTCTCCCAAGCCTACTGCCATTGCTGCTGTTGTTAGTGTGTTGGGGGGTGCCACGCCATACACCCATCTTGCTCCACCATTCACCCCAGACTGCCATTCTTATTATGACCTTATTCAATGTCCAGGCACTTGAGTGGCCAAGGAGGCAAAGCACTGACTGAGGTGAGACATTATGTTTCTCCACATACATACACCCTGAACAAACAACCAGTCTTTAACTTGTTCTTTGGTAATTTCTTACAAATATACATTGTATTTAGATCATATTCATACTTCTATTCCTCTTGCCAACCCTTCCTGGACTCTCATTTTCCTCTCAATATTATCTCCTCCTGTCCTTTTTGTAACCCACTGACAGTTGAAGTTGAGATGACTGCGTGTGGCCCTGTAATATCAGTGCTGGGTACGACTGAAGATAGGAGGATGGTTGGGCATCCCTGGATGCCAGTCTAGCTGAAAAAAAAAAAAGAGCTAGTCTACATTCAATCAGAGGAGACTTTGGTTCAAAGGCGTAAAAAAGGTAGTGGTAGAGGAGAGGACGGCACTTGACTTCTTCTCCTGGCCTCACACACATGTGCATGGGCAAGTGCACCTGCGCACACAGAAACCACAGTGAGCCTCATTCATAGCTCAAAAATGTTACCAGCATTCTCCTTGAAATCGGGAAGAGGAATAAAGAGAAACTCACAGATGGGAGAAAACGCTTACACATCATGAATTCTGTAAAGACCCATATCCTCAGGCTAGGACATTGCTTAGCTGGTAAAGTGTTTGCCACGTGAGCATGAGGAGTCAAGTCCAATCCTTAGAACTCACGTGAAAAGCCAGGCATGCTTCTAATCCAAGACCTGAGAAAGCAGAGACAGGAGGATCCCTGGGGCAGTCAGGCCAGCCAGCCTAGTTTATGTAACAAGCTCCAGGTTCCTAAAAGATGCTGGGTCTTCGTTAAATTTCCTGTTGCTGTGATAAACTACTCAAACAAAAACACTTTAGGGAGACAGAATCCATTTAGCTTTCAATTTCATGTTACAGTCCATTATTGTAGGAACTTGAAACAACGGATCATAGACCAGAACAGAGAGCGTATCTGTGCCTCTCTATTCACACACAGATCAGAATCCTCTAACTTCAAGAGAACACCCTCGCGGATGTGCTCCATAGGCCTGTCTCTTAGTTGACTGGAGGTCCTGTTAGTTGACAACCAAACACGACCATCACACATACAATGGAATATTTTCTCCACTAATTAGTTTATTTATTTATGTTACAACGATTGCAGTCCCCTCCTCCCAATATTCCCTTCGTACATTCCCTCCCTCTATGCTCTCTCTCCTCCTCTGAGAAGGGGGAGACCCTCCTGGGTACAAACCTTCCCTGGCACATCAAGTCACTGCAGGACTGGGCACATCCTCTCCCTCTGTGGCCAGATATGGTAGCCCAGTTAAGAGAACAGGATCCACAAACAGGCGACAGAGTCAGGGACACCCCCCATCCCCCAAACACACACACTTCCATGTTCCAGTTGTTAGGGGATTCACATGAAGACCAAACTACATATCTGCTACATATGTGCGTGTGGGGGGGGGGGTTTGTTCCCACAGTGGAATATTATTTAGGGTGAATAGGAAAAACGTATGAGACTCCACACTGTGGGCCTTAGGGATACTATGGCAAGCAAAACAAGCTAGCTGTGGATAGAAAGGTGTTGCAGAATTTTGTTTGTGGGAGGAACGACCCTAAAGTGGTCACTTTAACAGAGACATGAAAGGGAACGGAGGTCCAGGGGGCTGTATGGCCTCTTGCTTGGGGGCTGTAAGGCTGTATGGATCCAGCCTTAATTGTTTTCTGGTGTGGATATAGGAGCATATAGGGCGGGGACCCCCCCCCCCAATGTATCAGTTTCCAGAATGTTCTTGCTGGGGGCCAGGAATGACAGAAGGGAATTCTGTGTCCTGGTCCCTTCTTGTCCTTCACCCTTGTCTGGAAGCTGTGAGGGCCTGGCTGAGATTCAGAGGTACCTAACACCCCGTGGGCCACCTGGACTGACCAGCTCATCCTCTCTTATGCCCCGCCCCATCCAGCTTCTGCCACGTGTCCTTTAAAAGGCCCCCTACCTAGCAGCTCAACAGTACCTCTATATCTGGGGAGCCCTCCTGCAACACAGTAGCCCCATCATCACTGTCTCTTAAGCTCCAACCTGTGACTCAAACCCACATTTTAAAAGGCCTAGAACGGTGGCAATCCAAGTGCTGAGGAGGCAGAGGCAGGAGGATTACTGGGCTGCCAGTCATCCCAAGCAAAATTGGTCAGTATCAACAAGGCGAAAATGCAAAATACAAGATAAATACACACAGACAGACACACACAGACACACACACACAGAGAGAGAGAGAGAGAGAGAGAGAGAGAGAGGG